CAGACTCCCCACTGAGCAAGGAGCCGGATGTGGGGCTCGATCCCAGGACCCCGGGATCATGCCCCGAGCCGAAGGCAGACACCCAACCTACTGAGCCACCCAGGCGCCCCTCTAGTGCTAGCTTTTATTTCCCTGGGATCTCTGAGACGTCTCAGGACCTGTCTCCGCTATCCCTGGGGCCCAGACCATACCTGCAGCTCCTGGATCTCCTGGTATGTGCGTTCCAGCTCAGCTCGGGCAAAAGCTTTGTGCAGCTGGTACATATGCACGGGGTCATGCACAGGGTGGGCTGTCAGGGCACTGCGGAAATGGGGGTCTCCTTCCTGCACATGCTCCCCAGGGCGTAGCTCCAGGTAGCTATACTGGACTCCCTGGAGAGGGGGAAGGGAAGGGGTCCATAACGGGAAGAGTGATGGGACAGCCTCCCCACCCACCCCCCAGTGTGTGCCTCATCTTCCCATCCTATGACCTGTTGTGGACTTGGGAGTCAGAATTACTGGGTTTAAGTCTACCTTGACCAGTTGTGAGCTTGTGTGACTTTGGGCAAGCCTCTGCTAGCTCATCTGTGCAATGGGCATATGCATCCTATCTCAGAGCTGTCCAGGGGCTCAAATAAAATAATAGCCAACACTGAACACCCACTATGTGCAAGGCTCCCTTATTTTTTTCCTAATCCTTAGAACAACCCTGAGCAATAGTTATTTTCATTGGTCTGGAGGAGGATACCAAAGTTCAGGAGATGAGTGATTTGCCCCTGTAACCACAGGGATAGAAAGTGACAGCACTGGCATGGAAAACCCAGGCCTATTATTTCCAACTACCCCCTCGCCTCTGAGGGGCAAGTGCACAAGCTCAGACCAGAGGAGCCGGCGGGGCGGCTTATCTGCCCACCTCGTGGTCGCCGGTGCAGCCCACCCCGGTGGCATCGAGGATGCAGCGCCCCAGCCACTCGTCCGGGCGCGCGCTGACGATGTCGTTGCGGCAGCTTTCCAGGTGGGGGCGCAGCTGCTGCAGCAGTGTGCGAGACAGCAGCACCCCAAAGCCGCCGTGGCAGTAGCGGCCTGGGGCGGGCTCTCCCCCGATGAAGTCCTGCGGCCGGCCCAGATAGAGGTGGGCGGCAGCTGCCAGGCTAAGACGGCCAGCTAGGCGAGCCAGTCCATGGGCCTCGGTGTAGGTGGCATCAGGCACTATGAAGAACCAGTCAAAGTCGTCACCGTGTTGCTCCAGTAGGTGGCGCAGTGCCAGGTGCAGGTGCCCGATGGGCCGCTCCTCACCCAGTGTCACCACGGCCATGCCCGGTGGTGCCCGGCGGCCCCGAGAGCCGGTCAGGAACACCACGCGCTCTAGCCGGTGCCCCAGCGTGCGGTTCACGGCCACACCCAGTGTGGGCAACGTGGCTTGTGAGGTCAGCACCGCCACAAGCAGCCTCTGCCGGATGCCCAGCTCTGTGCTGATGTATCGGGTCCTGGGGGGGGGGGGCAGAGGGCACAAGGTTATCAAAAAGACAACAGGGCAGGCAGGAGAGCGCATACATAGGCTCTGGCGGGTCACATCCTCTCTGGGCCTGTTTGTTCCCCTATGCATAGGATAAGAATAACAACTCTCTCCCAGGGGTCATGAGGATTTACCTGAAATATTGGCCTTACCTACTCAGTGCTTTGGGGAGATGGCAATATCCATGCCGATATGAGGGATACTTTGGGGGTCTGATTCTCTGTTTCACCACTTAGCAGCTGTGTCCTTGAACAAGTAATTTAACCTACCTGAGCCTCGCTCAGTAGCCTGCTCTGTAAAAAGTGGTTGATTGTATCTAATCAAAGCACTTAGCCACGTGCTCAGCACGTAGTTATTCCACACACCGCGTATATACTGATTTCTATATAAATACGCCATTATACCACAAATACATCACACAAATGATGTAAAGGAATCTATGGCATAGGAACGTATTGAGTGTGTTTGGGACAAGGGCAAACTGGGGCTCAGGGGTTCCAGTAACTTACCTTCCATAATGCAGAAGGTAAGTTGCAAAACTGAAATTTGAACTCAGGGTTACTTAGGAGAAAATTATTTCAACTCATGGGCAGAGGCATTAATGGGATGGGTACCTCCCCCCTCCTCCCCAAATCTCATCCTGAGGTGTCCCACCCAGGAACAGGAGAAACAGGTAAATCCTAGTTTTTTCTTTTCTCTTTCCCTCTCTCTATGCACCCACCCTATGTACCAGTCATTTCTGGAAACCCAACAGCCCAACCAGGGAGCTAATAGGATCTATGAGGGACCATGGCATGGGATCGAGCCAGTTTAGGACAGAGGAGGGCAAGTTCAGTCCAGGCCTGGACGGGGCCCAGAAAGGGCTTCCGATGGGTTCCACAGCTCCCGGGGAAGCAGGGCCATCGGAAGTTATCGGGGCCAAAGACTTCCTGGCCGGCCGGCCCCTTCCTTCCGGAGCCTGACCCAGCCTCCGGCGGCCTCCCCGGCGCGCCCGCCCCGGCGGGTGCCTAGGGGGTGGGACTGGCGGGGCTGATCCCTACCTGACGGCCTTTTTGGCGGCCTGGCCAGGCTGTGCAGGATGGTAGGGCAAGACACGCGGCTCCCAGTTCTCCCCGGCGCCTGCGCCGGTCCCGGGCCTCTCGCGCTCGGCTCCGGGCTGCACCGAGTTGGGCCGGCGCGCCGCGTTGGTGTTGCCGCGCGGCGGCAGCTCAGAATCTCCGGGTTGGGGCGGCCCTGGGCCGCACGGCTCCTCCACCCAGGTGACGCTGAGCAGGCTCAGAGTGAAGCCCAGGGAGATGCCCACGGCCACGGGCCCTGCGGGCCGCAGCACCGAAAGCAGCAGCGATGCCCGCATGGCGCCGGGACCGCGGGCCGCCGGCCCCGGAGCAGCCCCACAGCAGCCAGAGGAAGCTCCGAGGGGGCGGGACCAGGGAGGGGGCGGATCCGAGGGCCCGGGCCAAGCGGGCGGTCCCGCTCCCTCCCCACCGACGCGGCCCTCGTCGAACTCCCCTGCGCCGCTCTCCGATCCTCCTCCGTAGGGCGCAGGGTTCTAGCGCTCCGCGCGGGAGCCTGGGCCGCGGCCGCCGCTGTCCGACGTGTCACTGCGAGGTCCCCGCCCCCGGGGTGGGGTCTCGGGCTCCAGCTACCGGAGACGGAGCAGAAGGGGGAGGTTAAAGGGGAAGGACCCCCGGAAGTGCCCCCTCCTCAGTGCGGGTGAGGGAAATGCCGGGGGCGGAGTCCCCTGCCTCCCCGGCGTGGTTGGTGCGTCCCGGGTGACGTCAGAAGCAGCCCGCCCCTGCCTGGATGGTGCGCCCTGAGTGACGTCAGGAGCAGAGGCCGGAGCTGTCCATCAGCACCAAAGGCCGCGGGCGGGCTCAGGGCATGGGGCCGCGGCTCTGGGGCAGCCCGAGCCCCTGCTCCTGCTCCTTTCCCTTTCCCAGGCCCAGCCTGAGTCCCCAGACTCCGCGGGACTGGAGTGCCAGCCGGTGTTGGAGGCGGAGCAGCGACGCCGCCGCACAGAGACCAGTCTCTCCGGCCCAGCAGCCCCCTTCCCCGCACGGCGGACTTTTCCCGGACCCCAGTCAGCTGGGGCCTCTGGCGCTCCACAACCCCGGAACCTCGGGCCCCTGCACGGCCTCTTTCGCTCAGAAGCTCAGGTCGCCTCCAGCCCAGGTAGATCTTGGACAATCCCAGATTTGGCCGCCCACAGGGGAGTCTCCTGGCTGCCTCCTTCTTACCGGCAGCACACTGCCCTCCTCTTCCCTCAATCCAGTGTCCCTTTTAACTTTTTCATCCCAGCCCCTCCTTTAGCCAGGCACTTTGTTTCCCTTTGTCTTTTGCTCCACTTCAGAAATGCTTCCAGAGCTGCATGATCTGGGCACCACTCCTTTGTCCGCTGGTGTCCTTGCCTGGCTCTCCCATTCCCATTCTTGCCCCCATCCTGGTGGAGACCCAGGACTCCTCCTTGACCCCAACTTCCTCTCCGTCAGGCTGACCTGGGAGGGTGACTCCCTTCCATTCCCAGCACTATGCCAGGCACTGTGGCGACACTGCGGTTCCAGCTGCTGCCCCCCGAGCCAGATGATGCCTTCTGGGGTGCACCCTGTGAGCAGCCCCTGGAGCGCAGGTACCAGGCACTGCCGGCCCTCGTCTGCATCATGTGCTGTCTGTTTGGAGTCGTCTACTGCTTCTTCGGTGAGACCCCTATCTCATCCCTCATCTGGGCACCCCACTGTTTCCCCTAGTTATTTCTCTAGGCACCCCAAATCTTCTCTAGAACATCACCACCACCACCATCACCACCACCATGAATAGCTATCTCTTTCTTTCATCCCACACATGTTCATGGATCATCTAGACTCTAGATCCTAGAAAACACAGGTTTTTTAATTAGGCAGGCTTGAATTTGAAACTGGCTCTGTACCTTACTAATTGTGATACCTGAGCACATTAACCTGTCTGAGCCTCAGTTTTCTCATCTGAACAGTGGGGACAATGATATTTGTCTCACATAGGGTTGTTGTGAAAATAGTAGACACTCAGTAAATTATAGCTATTGTGGTGAAGATGTGTTTGGGTCACAGAAAATATTTAGCAGGCTGATTGAACATAGTCCTTTACCACAGGGCATATTGTCCAGTAGGGAAGAGACTTCTGGAACATTCACCCCTGTAATACATGTTAGGGTGGGCTAGATGGTAGTCACATACATGGAGATAGCCTACAAGGCAGGCTCTAGTAATCAGGGCTGCCGTGAACAGTTGTATAGGATGGGCACTGTACAAGGGAGTTCAGTTGAATAGGTAACTGGGGGCTGGAATCCAGCCCATGCTCCACTTGCCAAACTCTAGGCCTTGGCATGGGCTGCTTTGCCTAGGGGAAGACACGACTTTTTCTAATTTGCACAAAGGTGCCAGATGGGCTAGTGGAGTAAGTGCTCAATGACTATAGCAAGAGCTACAGGATTTCAGAGAGGGGAGCAAGCTCGATGGGCTGGGGGCCTCCAGGGGGAGCATTATAGGCAACTGGAAGGAGCACAAAGGAGGCACGGAGGTCTGGATTCCAGGCTGGGCAGAGGTGTCATGAGACGAGTGCTCTGCAGCCTCTATACCTCCCCCTAGAATGGTTGTGTAGTAGGCACGGATGGGAGCCAGATGGTCCCTCCCCTTCCACCCACAAACTCGAGGCTGCACAACTGCAGAATGAGCAAGAGGAAGTGCCCTTCTAAGGGTTCAGGACACATTCTGGGTCTCCAAGGAGTCTGTCACCTCATGTCCTCCACTACCCATACCCATTCCCTCTGCAGTTGCTCAGTGCAACCTGACATTCCCTCTTCTGGGCTTTCCTGCCACCCTACCCTCTTTGGATGCCCTCATTCCCAGGCTCTTGGACTCTGAGCACTTGTGTACGCCCTACTCCTCTTTCTAACCCCAGAACCTCCTGGACTCTGATGCCTCCCCTCAGTCCTAAAACTCCATCTCTCTTTGTGAACTTTCTCTTTGGAGCTCCCTGACCCCTTGACCTCCATCTCTGACTTCCATGTACCCAACTGTTCATATCTACAAGTTCCTCACCATTCCAGGTACTCTTAATGGGTATAACTTCCATTTTGCCGAAACTCCATGAGCACTGTTTCCCCTTAAAATCCTCTTTGACACCTATGACCCTAGTGATCCCCAACCACCTTGTTATCTCATTACCTCCCATCCCTCTGTCTCCCTCTATTACTCCTAACACTTTGATCCCTATGATGCCATTGTGTGCCCCTCCCCCACCACGATCTCCCATTTCTCTGGCCTCAATATTTCCCCCTCTCAGAAACCCTTTAATACTCTCAATGATTCCATGTCTGTCAATTCCCCTACTTGCAATGACCTCATCTTCTGGAATCCTTCCCCAATAACCCTGCTTCTCCATTCTCTTTGTCGTTTTCTAATAATGTCTTATCTCTGAAGCCCTGTGACCCCTCAAAGACCTCATCTTTCTGAACCTGTGTGACCCTCATCTCTCAAGTTCTTTCTGACTTCTGAATCCCTCATGTCTCTGAGCAGTCCCTCCCAAGGCCACGATGATTCTAATTGCTGATCCCTTGTGACTCCAGTGACCAATCTCTCTGACCCCTATGATTCCAAAGATCCTAATGACCCTATCACTGATTGACTCTTGACTCCAATGATTTATCTGACTCCTCTGACCCTCCAAGACCCAATGCTCATCTCAATCACTCTATCTCTCTGTTTTCCCAGTGACTCCCAGTGACCTATCTCTCTGACCTGCCTTGATCTCAGTGGTCCCATCACTGATACCCTCAGGACCCCAGTGACCCCCCAAGTCTCTGATCTTAGTGTCCTGCTCCTGGTTCCCCTGTGATTCCATATCCATGAAACCTCCAATCTCCTGCCTGGAGCCCGGTGACCTCATTTTGGCCCCTCACTAGCCCTTGTTCCCCTCCAGGTTACCGCTGCTTCAAGGCAGTGCTCTTCCTCACTGGGTTGCTGTTTGGCTCGGTGGTCATCTTCCTGCTGTGCTACCGAGAGCGGGTGCTGGAGACGCAGCTGAGTGCGGGGGCAAGTGCGGGCATCGCACTGGGCATTGGGCTGCTCTGCGGGCTGGTGGCCATGCTGGTGCGCAGCGTGGGCCTCTTCCTGGTTGGGCTGCTGCTCGGTCTGCTGCTCGCTGCTGCCGCCCTGCTGGGCTCCGCGCCCTACTACCAGCCGGGCTCCGTGTGGGGCCCGCTAGGGCTGCTGCTGGGGGGCGGCCTACTCTGTGCCCTGCTCACGCTGCGCTGGCCCCGACCACTCACCACCCTGGCCACCGCCGTGACCGGTGCTGCGCTCATTGCCACGGCCGCCGACTACTTTGCCGAGCTGCTGCTGCTGGGGCGCTACGCGGTGGAGCGCCTGCGCGCCGCCCCAGTACCTCCCCTCTGCTGGCGGAGCTGGGCCCTGCTGGCACTTTGGCCCCTGCTCAGCCTGATGGGCGTTCTGGTGCAGTGGCGGGTGACGGCCGAGGGGGACTCCCACACGGAAGGTGAGAGGGCACAGGCCAGGGTGGGCGAGAGAGAAATGAGCTGCTGGGGATGGGTGGGGGGAAGGACGGAATGGGGTGGGGGGGAAGAAGCTGTGCACACCAGCGGCCAAATAGGGTTGGAGAGCTGACCTGCTCAGGGTCTGGCCAGGCAGGACCTCAGCCCCACCCTTCATTCTGCAATAAGGTATAGGGCTGTGTGGGGTCTGTGGCAAGCCCATTTCAGGCACAGGGGATCCAAGAGAAAAGGTGCCTGCCCTCATGGGATTACATTCACGTGGAGGGAGACAGACAACAGAATGCAAACACTAGATTATTCCAGCTCTGGAGTCATATGAAAGAGATATTCAGGGCAACGTGAACAAGTGACTTACAGAGGCTATTATAGATAGGGTGGTCAGGGAAGGCCCCTTGGAAGAGGTGACATTTAAGTAGAGTGCTGAAAGATAAGAGGCCACATGCAAGGAGCTAGAGAAGAGGGAACGGCAAGGGCAGGTCCCCAGAAAGAAAGAGCTTGGCTTGCTGAGCAAGTGGGCTGGAGTGTGGTGGGTGGAGGCATGCCATTTGTGCGGGCCCTGTGGGCCATGATGAGGACTCTGGATTTTACCAGAAAGGCAATGTGATGCTCCTGCAGGTTTAAAGCAGGGGGCATATAATCTCATTTAGGGTTTGGGATGCTCACTCGCTGCTGGTAGAAAACATCGGGGAGGGCAAGTGTAGAAAGGCAGACCAGTGAGAAGGAGACAGTAGTTATCTGGTTGAGAGAGGATGACGTCTGGTTTAGGTGAGTCACCTGGGGCTCAGGATGGGAAAAGGGATTAACAGCTGGAGAGGGAGTACTTAGAAGTCTAGGAATATTCCATATGACCGTCGGAAGAAAAAAACAACTGCAAGAAGTCCCATCTGGGAGGTGGGAGACCAGGAAAGGAAGGGGGAGTGGGAGGTCACAGATGAAGGGAATCTGGAAGCCTGGAGCCCTCGGGTAGGGAGGATCGGGGAGGCTTGGGGGAGACAAGGCACGAGGGCCTGTGAGACCCTTCTCTGCCCATCCCCTCACAGTGGTCATCAGCCGGCAGCGGCGACGCGTGCAGCTAATGCGGATTCGGCAGCAGGAGGAGCGCAAGGAGAAGCGGAGGAAGAAGAGACCCCCTCGGGCACCCCCCAGAGGCCCCCGGGCTCCTCCAAGACCTGGGCCCCCTGACCCGGCTTATCGGCGCAGGCCGGTGCCCATCAAACGTTTCAATGGAGATGTCCTCTCCCCGGTGAGCACCCTGAGCCTCTCTAGCCCCGAACGGGGAAGAAGGGAATGCGGCAGATTCTGTCCCAGCAGGACTGGGCCTTCCCAAGGGGCTGATCACACTATCTAGAAGGCCTAGCATTTGTCTACCTATTGTGACCCCTGCCCAATGAGCCTGAGGGGTCCAGGTCTAGGATTGGGGGAAAGGTGTCCTGAGTATGAATATTAATGAGGTATGGTAGGGGGTAGGGTCTCAGGGCTGTGGACTCCGGGTGTGGTGAGGTCCCGGGCCTAAGGCAGTCTGGGCTGAGTCTCAGGCTGTGGGCTGCAGGGACAGGATGTCTGCCTGAGGTGGCCTTCTGGGCAGGGTCTGCAGTACCTCTCTCACACCTGTCTTTACTCTCCCACAGAGCTACATCCAGAGCTTCCGGGATCGGCAGACAGGGAGCTCACTGAGCTCCTTCATGGCCTCGCCCACAGATGCGGACTATGAGTATGGGTCTCGGGGGCCGCTGACAGCCTGCTCAGGGCCCCCCGTGCGGGTATAGCAGTCCTGCTGCTCCTGCCCACCTAGACTCTTCGGTCACCAGCTCTGCCAGCTTGGGGAGGCCTGCTGGACCACCACCCAGCCCACCTGGTCTTGTGGCCTTTGGTTGTCCCTCTCCCCATGCTGAAGAGGGCTGACCTGGCTACTGGGAGGGAGAACCTGTCTCAGGCTAGCCCTGGCCTAAGGGGAAAGCCTCCTCCCAAGCTCCAGAGGGGCTCTTGAGGGATGCGGGGTGTGAGCCCCATTGGGGTGTGCTCAGGGTTGTGAGTGTGTTGCCTGTGTGTGTGTGTGTGTGTGTGTGTGTGTGTATGGAAGGGTGGGCTTGGAGGGGACACTGGGACCCTTGCCTTAGATTTCTGATTGGTAGGGCTTGTCTAAGGTTGGCCCTGCCCCTCCTCTCCCACCGCTGGGGTCCCACAGGCCACTCTCCTGCATGTCGAAGTGGAGGAGGTCTGCCTTCCTTCCCCATGGCTCCACCTCTCAACCAGACTCATCTAAGGCTTCTTGTCCTTGTCCATGGGGCAAACGGCAGCACCCCTCACCCTGGTCCCCTGTCCTCTGCAAAGCCACCAGCCTGAGGGCAGTGGCAGGGGAGGGGGGTGGGGGGTGCTGCTCTGGGCTGGGGTAGGGAGAGGGGCTGGGGGAGGGGGCTTCAATGCACGGTGCATGTCTGGTGTCTGTCATGCCACCCTGGACACCTCATGCTTCTGTCTCCCCTCACCCCACCCTGTTTTACATATTTTATAAATGTGCCAAACTGTGTGGCTTCTGCCAAGCGTGGTGGTGGTCTTCAGTGGCTGGCACTTTCAGGGGCCATACTGGAAGCGCTGCAGCCTTTGGTGTCCTGTGTCACTTACTGCACAGGGGCCCCAGGCAACTTCTGCCCTCCTACATCACACAGAGAGCCAGGGAAAAGGACTGTACCACTTTATTGTCTCCCAACACCTCTGGTTCCCCTGCGCCCCCCCCCACCCCTGCCCAGGGTACGGGCACACGCCTTCCAAGCTGTCCGAGGGCACCTGCCTGGCCTGGTTCGGTCCTCCTAGCTACCTGCAGAGGAATGACTCGGCGTGGGGCTGGGGAGAGAGTGGGTACCACCGTCCTCTCCCCTGGCAGAGCCCGGGCACCCACACAGGAAGAGCTGGGTCCTCACCCTCTGCCCTACCCTTTCCGGGCCTCTGTCTGGGATGTCTGCGGGGGCAGGAAAACGGGTCAGCCCCCAGTTAGGGGTGGGGCAAGGCATGAAATGCAGGAGGGTGGGGCATCTGTATGTGGAAGAGGAAGGAAATGGGACTAGCTCAGGAGCCCTCTGCTCAGACCGATGTGGAGCTAGCTCTCTGGGATGGGCAGAAGCCAGCTGGGCAGAGAGCAGAAGCGGGATGAGAGGCAGGTGGGGGCACAGACCAAGGGACCAGTAGGTGGGAAGGAGAGGAATTAGGGTACAAATGGGGCATTCAGGAGAGACAGATGTGGTCCAGAGGCAGGAGGGAGTGAGAAGCCTGAACAGGAAAGGGCATAGAAAGGTGGGAACAGCTGACCTGAAGCAAATGGTTCCTGTGGAGAACACAGGGCTCTCTCCTCTCCTCAGCCCCTCCCCCCTCCCCACCTCCAATGCACCCCAGAACCAACTGGCCATCCCAAGTCCTGGAAAACCTCTGGTAGGTGTGTCTCAGCCCCCCAGCTCCCAGGCAACCCCTCCTTCCTGGTCAGCCAGCCTGTCCCTCTGACCTCTGCCCAGTCAGCTTCACTCACCCTCTACCAGCAACCGTGTGTGGGCGCTGTCCTGGCCGGCCTGGCAGCTGTAAGTGCCCTGGTCCTCAGGTCGCACGTCATGGATGACCAGGCTGTGGGTGGGGCCGTGGCTGCGCAGCTCATACTTGTCTCCCGGGCACAGCTCGACCCCCTCCCGCAACCAGCACACGTGGCCCCCCGAGCGGGACACAGTCACCTCCAGCACCGCCCTGCGGCCGACGAGAACCGTCTTTTCTCGAGGGGGGCGGCGGCACATCTGGAGAGGCAGTGCTGGGGGTGAGGACGAGGGCTTAAGTTAACAGGGACACGCAGGGCCCCCAGGAAGAGAGACGCATCTTCCCTCCCCTTGCAGCCTCCACTCCTGGTCTCAGATCTCTATGGTACCAGCCCGTTCCTCTGTACCCCTACCCCAAAGTCTCCTCCCCAGGAAACGCACTGCCTTCTGTGACCCTCCCCAGAAGAAGAGTCCCTCGAGGAAGGGAGGTGGGGAGGCAGCGTTTCCAGGACCAGCCGCCAGCCTGCCAGTCCCCGGGGGAGATGATGCCCACTCCCTACCGTCCCTCCCCAGTTGCTTACCCTCTACCTCCAGCTGAGCCACGGACTGGGCAGGTCCCGCCTGGAAGCGGACCTCACCGGCGTCCTCCGGGCGCAGCTCGCTCAGCACCAGAATATGTTTCTTCCCTGGGGAGGTGAGGGAGGCGCTAAGCGAGGCAGGAGCCGCCACTGGGGAAGGTTCAGGGAGGAGGGTGGGCCGGAGTAGGTCCCCGGGTCGGTTTGGACGCGGCAAATGTGCGCTGGGCTGGGCGGAATTGGGATGCCGAAGGAAAAGAGGAGCGGTCTAGGACCGAGGGCTCAGAGCTGGGGACCCGGCAAAGACCGGGAGACTGCTCGTTGGGCTATGGGGCGGGGCCCATCGAGGTGGAGGCGGGGCTTATCCTAGTAGGGCGGGGTCTGTCTGAGCCAGGCGCGGGGAAGCAAGGGACTAGAGTGGGAGGAAAGTCGGCCAGACCGTCCTGTCGGATGCGGACGTGGCCTCCAGGTCTCAGCGGACGGCCTCCGAGCTCCCAGCTCCCCGTGGTCTCGACCTCCGACACGGTGCACTCGAACGTGGCGCCGTCACCTTCGCGGGCGCGAACCGACCGGAGCTCGGAGAGTACAGACACGTTGCGCTCTGGGGCGGAGCGGGAGGCGTGAGGTGGGGCGGGTCAGAACCCGACCACGCCCCCGCCCCGCCCCTCTCTCTGGAGGCACCAGAGTCCGTCCTGGGCCAGTCGGGTCCGCAGCCCCCGCGCCCACAGCAGTGCCCAGCCCCGGCAGCGCCCCCGAACCCACCGCGCACGACCAGGCGGACGGGCCCGGCGCGAGCCGTCCCCACTGCACAGCTGTAGGTCCCGGCGTCCAAGGGGCCGCAGCGCCGCAGCTGGAGAAGGCGACGCGTGCCGAGGGCCTGGAGCCTGAGCCGAGGGCTGGGGGTGAGCGGGCGCCCGTCCTAAGGGCGAGAGTTACAGAGGGTCAGGGTGCACTCGGCTGGACACAGGCAGCCGCGGCCCTGGGAGGCGGCGGCGCCCTCTGTTGATGTCAAGCGGTTTCGAGGCGCGTTTACGCTTTCCTGGCTCTCAAGCCGGGATCTGGCTGTCCCAAGCCTTCCGGGCCTCGCCAGGAGCCAGGAGCCTCGTTGGGAAGGTGTCCCCCTTGGAGACGTTAGGGCTCTACCCCTTTTGTCTGCCCCCGGGCAATACTTCACCCCACTGAGCCTCAGGCTCCTTAACGATAACACTGAGATAGCAAAACCTACCTCATAGGGCTCTTGTAAGGATTAGAGGGTTAAGTGTTAAGTAAATGTAAATCTGAGCACAGTGCCAGGCACATCCCTTCAGTGAATATTAGTTGTTTCCTTTTGGGGCATTATTATTACTGTCCTTATGCCGCCAGGTAGGCTGGGCTCTGACCTTCTCCCAGGTGACATCAGCCAAAGCCTGGGAAAGCTCGCACTCCAATGTAGCTGTGTCTCCCTCAGTCACCTCTAGGTCCTGTGGCCCCCGCACAATGGTCACTGGGGCCTCTGCCAGTGGGAGAAGGAAGACACACTTGAGTACAGAGATCAGTGGTGGACACATTTAGGATGATCAGGAGAGGCCACTAGTGAGGGGGGATGTGCTGGGACAAGTGATCCAAGTGGGATGCTGGTCAGTGGAGGACACGACAGGGCCACGGGAGTCAATGGGACAGGAGTGGCCAGCTGGGGGTGTCAGTGGGGGACATGCTGGGGCTACAGGGACCTGGGGGGGCGACCAAAGCAGAGATGCCAGTGGAGTCACCCAGAGGCAAGCATGGTCAGTGGGGACCACACTTGGCTGGAATGGACAGGTGACACTGGCCAGTGGGAGACATGATGGGTTCAGAGGCCAATGGGTGGTATGGTCAGCAGGGAACACGGTGGGTTGGACAAATGGGGGACACTCAAGCAGAGCTGCTAGTGGGGTCACCCTTAGGCAGTTAGTGGATCACTGGGACTGGAGGGGCCAGAGGGGCCCACTGAGGCAGGCAGTGGGGGTCACGGCAGGCTGGTGTGGTCAGTGGGGTCACGCTCAGAGCGGTCGGTGGGGCCACAGTCAGGCAGGCAGACAAAAGGGACCACACTGGCAGAGACCCACTCGTGGCCGCACGGCCAGTGGTTCGCAGGGACTGGAGGGCCACTGGGGTCATGCTGGATGATCAGATGGGTCAGAGGAGCCACACTCAAGCAGTAAGGGGGATCAGCAGAGTCACACTCAGGGCAGTCAGTAGGTAGGCAGCGGGCCCAGAATCCGCACCTCTCACGGTGAGTCTGGCTGCACAGCGCAGGGAATCCACAGTGAAGGAGATGCAGCCCGAGTCGGCCAGGCCCAGGCCACTGAGTACCAGGCGCTGAGTGCGGCTCTCGGCATGCAGGTGGCACTTGGGCCCCGGCTGCAGCCGCACTCCACCCCGGGCCCACTCCCCGGTCACACCCTCCTGGGACAGCTCCAGCTGGAAGGTGGCACTGCCCCCCTCGATGATGGTCACATCCTCCAGAGGCCGTAGCACCCTTAGCTGCTTCGCTGATCGGGGAAGACGGGGGGAGAGGGAGAATGAGGGCTCCAGCTCTGGGCAAGGATTTTGAGGGCTCACACACCCCCTCGGCCCTGCCTGTACCACCCCTAACACCCAACCTGAGCTCCTATGGAAAGAAGCCCAGAACCAGGGTACAGGGAGAAAGGAGCGCAGCAGGCCAACTCGGGGGGAGGGGCTTATTGCTGTTAGGGGAGGGCACACATGAAGGGGATGGGCTGTGGTTAGAGGGTTGAGGAGTCTGGGTGAGGAGGGATGCTGTGACACCGGAAGGAGCACAGAAATTGAAGTCAGATACGCTGGGATTGGACCCCAGCTCTGCCACATAGTTTGTGTGCTGTGTGACCTTTCGCAAACTGCTTGACCTCTCTGGGCCTTAGTTTTCCCAATTGTACAAGGTGAATAGCACTGAGACGTGGGTTTATTGTGATTAAATGAATGAAATAAATTAGAAGAGAATACATATCAGCAACAGCAATCATTCACCAAGCTCTGTTGGGCATTTTTCATGTTATCTCCATTCCCAAAGACCCTTGAAGTAGGGATCAGCCCCATTCTTAAGAAGACTTGGCTCAGAAAGGTTAAGTAATTTGCATGAGGTCTCACAGATGATAGAAAGCTCCGGCTTGTGGGGTGGGGTTGCTCTTTGCCAAATGGGCCCGTGTATCCTGGGGCATGTGAGCAAGGGATAAACACGGCAGGTCTTTCCGGAGTATAATATTTATGTTTACAGCAAAGCCAACTTGGACATGTGAAATGGAATGCAAAATCCACACGGACTTCTAGGGTACATAGAAAACACTAGAAAAGACAAGTTTTGCTTTGGGAAGGCTGCTTCAGGTCACACTTCTGGAGGCCAGGCAGGGCTGACTTGCCTCAGTGGTGAGGGGCACTTTGGTGGGGGTCTGAGGGGCCCTGGGCCAGCCAGGAAA